GTCGAAAAAATCCAAGAAATGAGGAAAGTCCACAACGATTACCTCCTGCCCACCAGCGTGGACTAGCAGATCCGTCAGGATTTGTCAATTTGGGGAGAGAAGATCCCAGAGCTCGCGATCTAAGAGTGGTGAAACATCCTGATTCAAGCCCGAATCGCTGTGTCATGTGTAACGGGCGACTCCATGACTTTGCCAGCGATTTTGAGAACTCAAAGGGCTGCGAGATTCGAGTCTATCTTCCTTGCGGTCATCCATTTGGCCACCGTTGTTGGCACCATTACCTGACCCAACGTATAAGGTCTCGAACTCCAGAGAGCGATGCTATCATTGTTGAAGGGGAGCATTACTGTCTAATGGGGGAGTGTATCCCCATTCGACACGAGTGTGACCACCTTGCTATTCCAACACTCAAACTCCCCCAACACATTTACGAGGACCAAGAGAGCCAAATTATACCGCGAGATTGTGACTTTTGTTCATCTAATCCACCCACCAAAAGGAGGATCAAGCGCAAGGAAAAGAAAATGATCCCAGGGCCATTGCCAAGGCAACATCCATATCTAATAGAGAGTGTGGTTTCTCGTGTTAGAAAGGCCTAGCACGCCTGGCATGAATGGAAGTTCCCTAGGATCAACCGGTTGTTGGATGACGAATGGCTTTCATTTTGCAGACAGCGTTTTCAGGAATGCGAGCGACGCATAGACACACGGATGAATACCGCCATAGAGTCCCCGGCAAACATGAATCCTCAAGAAGAAAACCCTATCAGACAATCCAGTGGCGCCCCTAAGATTGATATCATCCCGGGCCAGCAAGAGCAGGGTAACCCGCCCACAGGCCCAGGCACCGAGATGCAAGAGAACCGAAGCCAGGCTGAAATAATAAAGCAAAAGACAGCTGCAATACCTCCAGCAGTTGGGAACGCTGACGATCCTGATGCGATCACTCCTGCTGAACCTTCCTCTTCGTTTGTGTTACCTAAAATCAAAAACCTACGTCCCATCGTTTTTTCTACAACAGGAGAGACAGGCAGATCTGACGTGGGGGCCGCATCAACTAATGGGGTCGTAGGAAGTAAGAACAGGACGAATCCCACAGCCACCATTGGCATTGAGCCTCAATCGCTCGTGCACAAGGCTGCCTCAGCACCAGACCTGGGCTCTATCAACAGAAAGACCAATGTTGATCCTGGGGGAGATATGGCAGAGAAAAAACCCGAAGTAGTGGTTATTTTCCCTGATCCACCGAAGGATGATCCAAAGAAGTCAGCCGAAGAAGTTGCTCAGCCGATAGCTGCATGACCACATTCTAGCTTCTGTATCGATCGGAGGACTTGGCTATGGGGGTGGCACCAAGGATCTGGGGGTTTCTCTTCCACTTTCGAAAAATGGCTGTAAACGTCGATATTGGTTGTGTCTTGAAACTGGTGCGATTTTGGAATCTAGGATGAAGAGCGATACAGTTTTAGCGATATGATTTTAATGATTGAGGCAGCGATGAATGAATAACAATCTGTTGCTTCAAAGTTACATGGGATTATGAAACATACCGTCGTATAATAAGCTGCACATCATGTTCTATCACTGGAGAATAGAGAGTTGTTCGATTGGTATTACTAAATCCATTTGATCAGCCATTTCCACATCTCGGCGAGATAGACCCAGGCAGCTCGAGGTATACTTGGATGAATTAGAGAAATGATATTGATAAAACTACCGACTTGAATACCTTGTCTTGAATTAATCTACGCATTTCAAATCTTCAAGTATAACTGACTGTTTCTGCTGTCGCCTCACAGAGGCTTTCTCCTTGACAATCATCCATATAAGTAAGGTATGTCATAAGTCCGAAGGGCGCAAGAAACGTATTGAATTGTAACATTATGACCTAAAATTATTCCTTGCAAGCCGGTCTGGCTCATCGTCGCTATCGTCCCTAAAGCCCTCTTCAAGACTGCAAACATGATGTCAGTCACTGATGTGATAGGATGTACAACAAAGGTTCTTGGTCGCTAAACAGCAGCACTTACTCTCTACTTAATCGCCTGGCGTTGTCTGGCCGTGCAGCACGAGTATCAGCCTCCATCTGGCGCCACGTATCCTCGTCGACGCTGCCGAGTTCCTCTCCATCATCGTCTTCCAATCCATCATCGGAGACGTCCTCGGATGCGAATGCGACTGCGCGATTGGAGCGCCAAGTGGCTATTCGGGACGTTATGCGCTGTCGCAGAGACGATGTTTGGGAGGAGAGCGTGTCGAGAGGTAGGTACTGGCTGTAGCGGGCATATCGGCGCCAGAGGGGAATGAGGACGTAAGTGAGGAGGATGAAGAGTATCAAGGAGATGACGGCGGGAACAATGAGCGTCTAGTAGCGATCATGCGGATGTCAGTAGGGGAGGAGCAAAGAGGTAAGTTGTCATCGGATGATGTGTTTATTAGGTACCTTGATGACAGACATGGTAGCGCCCATGCTCTATATGTCAGAATCTGAGAGGACAGGCAGTCTTGCAGTCCGGCTCAGCAAAGTTTGGAGGCCCAAGATGTCACGATGTCGAAGCTGGAGGTTGCCGTGATCGCCCTGAGGCTACAGCGGGAAACGTGGCTGAAGCCACAAGGGCCCAGCGGGAGGTGACGACGCCGAGGATCCCGCTAAAAGGGGCGGGCCAACAGTTGGAAGCGTTCCATCAGACTTGCAAGGGGTCCATCATCACTAACGGCCGTGTACAGTATTTTTCTAGAACGATCCCGTCTCATCAATAATCAGCCAGCGACAGATAACCAATTCCTAGCCCTGGCATGGAAGGGATGACAGTTTTCATATGGCTTACCCGGGTATCTTATTGATAATTAAATCTCTGTCTAGGTAACTACCAACCTAAACGCCTAGTAGCTAGTAATATTTCAACTTGCATTAATAAAGAGCGCTCAATTGCGCGTAACCTCACATTTCCTGCATTATATCAATTACCACCGGCACTTCAAGATGCGCCATCGATTTAGCGTATCGCTATTCACATGTGCATAATCTTCCATCTTCATGGGACACGTCACCATCGTATCCAATGCTATCTCAACCATTCATCCACTGACATACAGAATTACAGATACGGCAATCAGAAACTGGCAGTCAACGGAATGGGGAATTTGAGACAGCCGACCTCGCTTAAGAATCAAGAATAAAATACGGAGTAAAGAAAGATCTTTTGTCTTGAGATCATAGGGGACGGGACATATGGGTCCCGATCTTCCTGAGACGGAGTAGAGATGCTCAGAGTCGCAGTAGGGAACTTGAGACAAATGAGTGATTGTATGAGTAATTATTATTGCTGATACCTTGGTAAAGAAGATACTGGCGCTTATTCTGGGTATTGAGTTATTAAGATGAATGGTTGTGTAACTGATCTCATGGTTCGAGGATTGTTACACGTTGGCGCAGCTGAAAACCCCAACTAAGAATAGCCATGAACCATTTATTGTATGCGATGATGAGATTGGTTCGCAGCTGAAAGACCGCACATGTCTTATTAATTGCGCCAAATCACAGTGAAATACATTGATCCTAGTACGACTTTTGGTTGTGCGACTCCTCACTGAAAGGTAACTCAAATGTCCCAAGTCTCTGGTATTGGGTTATAAGCATTTTGGGTCTTTGGATTCATGTATTACTGACAGTGGAGGGAGGGCCTTATGCACAGATTCCTGTCAGTCGGGACTCTAAGGAAGACAAGAGATTCTTTCTATAAGCGTAGGTAGCTGTCTCAGACTCTCTTTAAGCTTCAATTTCCCGTCTTCAACTTGATTTTTTTCCAGGTTGACATGCATCTGCGCGTCCTCAATCTACAGAGCCCACTTCCCCTGGCAGATCTCCTGATGCTAGAGAAAACTCCCCGCCTGGTGTCGATGCTAAAAAGGTGTCTGTCTCTCAGACCAGTCACAGGGCTGCTTGGGCATAATAAATATCCATGCATGATCATGCTGTATCACATTATTTCTAAGGAACTTCACTGATATTACGATATAACTGTGCTCGCTGATTTATCTGTAGTGACTTTTATAATACTAATTTGCTACATTATCTAGTTATCGAGTATCAATCTATATCTCTCGCTTTGGGCCTTTGCACGCGTTCTTAACCTAAGAGCTCAAGCGGCGGCTAAGCAATATTAGGCCCATAAACAAATGAGCCAATCCGCATTCATCTTGATAGACCCTCGGCTTGGTCCTCAGATCCCTGATCATAGAAGGATCCATTTGGAAGCCAAGTCATTCCCATATCTGGGTTGGGCTGGCTACTGCGGATACTGCTGCTGCTGCTGCTGCTGGTACACTGTGACTGCTACACCACACTGCACGACCTAGGTACCTAACTCTTCAACGTTATACGACACCCCGACCCGTCTGCAGCTCTGCAGTGACACGCTACGCTCCTTTGTTCGTTCACACCATTTCGACTTAATTCGGGTTGCAATTCAATTAATTTTGTTTTATTCTATTCTATTCTGTCACCTCTCATTGAAACATTCCGTCTGCATCATCTATCCAAAAGCCACAGCTTAGGCATTTTCTTTGTCTTTTTTTACCTTACTTTACCCCCTCCCTACCTATCTAGACTACGCGGGTTTCTTCACACTCAACCAAACTCCAGACGACCAAGGTTTCAAGTCCGACCATAGCGCTTCCGCCGATTCAACTGACGCTCCGGACCCCGAATAACTTCACTATTTTCCTCAACGGCGATATCGTGCCCCCGATGAAGCGAGCGGCCCTGGGCCAGCATATCGCCAACTTCACGTGTCCAATTTGGTAGCTGTTGGCAAGCGTTTCCCCAGGCTCATCGAAACCCTGGCACCTCCTTTTTTCCCTTACTGTACACCCCGGATCGACACCGACACAGCTATCTTGGAAATACGATTCGCAAACTAAACACTCCGCTTCGACGACTGTCGCGGCCACGACCGCTCTGTCACACCTACCGCCGTCGCCGTCGCCATTGTCGTCGCCATGTCTGACAAGACGAGGCAGTCCTCTGGCGGCCGGTCTTTATTCTCACGAAGTAAGCACAAAGACAAGCGCTTGACCGAAGAATCGAGATACCCCGCAGACGATGCCGCCAGTTTTCGCTCCTCGCGCCACAAACGAGAGTCGTCTGCCATCTCGCTCGATCGCCCAGAATCTTCTGATGGCGGTATCAACCAGATGGCGGGCGTAATTACGTCGATACCCTACGATGCCGTTGGAGGTGGATCACGCTCTCCCATACCCGTCGAGTATCTGCCCAAGGGCGAGCAGATGCCAGTGCGCCGTGAACCTCTTCCGCACCACCTAAACAAAAATGGCCTGGACTTTCACCAATACCCGAGCTGGGATGGAACGTCGGCACAGTCTGGTGCTCATTCCCCAGGGCGACAACCTCTTGGATATGGATATGGCAATGTTACTATGGCTTCAACGGGCCGTCAGACCCAATATCAGCAATGGGGTCCGCCCAGGGGCAGCTCTTCCCACTCGAATAATCCTCCCAACCCTCGATACGACTCATATATGTCTTCTAATGCTCGGGGCTCGGCTGATAATCTGAGCATTCAGTCAGGTAGTACAAGTTTCATTGATGGAAGGATACCACGCTCACCAAACGTAGCTATGCCCAGTGCCTCTTCCCAAAGCTCTTATGCTGCTTCTCAGCACTCGAACCGCGATTCTCACCGGTTTACCAAATTTCCGTCTGGCCCCCCTCCAGGACAAAGCGATCCACAGGGTGGTTTCTACTTCCCCAAACCAGACGACGATAATGTGGTCGAGCAGATGTTCCTCCAACTGATGCAGAAGCGAGGATGGCACAATCTCCCCGAGCAGGCCAGGAGACAGATGATGGCCTACCCCGCCCAGAAGAAGTGGACGCTGATCTATCAGGATCGACTTACTGAATGGCAAGGCGAGCAGAAGCGCCGGCAGACAGCACGCCCGAACCAGTATACCGCGACTCCCGATATCACGACGTACTCCGACGAAGAAGGCACTCCTGAATGGTATGTGCGGCGAGTTATGGAGGATCGCCTTGACACGAAAGGTATGGGAAGTTTGGAAGTCAATTTGCGAACACAACAGATTGGTTGGGTCAAGAGATTCGTCGAGTGTCAGGGACAGGTCGCTCTGATGACCTTGCTGCTTAAGATCAACCGCAGGACAGCACAGGGGCCAGTCCAGGATAACACCCGTATCGACAAGAATCTCGATCGCGAATATGATATTATCAAATGTGTAAAGGCGCTTATGAACAACAAATTCGGCGCCGACGATGCCTTGATTCACCAAAAGGTCATGGTGGCCCTTGCTAGCTCTCTTATATCTCCTCGCCTCACCACACGGAAGCTTGTCAGCGAGATCATAACCTTCCTATGCACCTGGGGAGAGAATGCCGAAGGTCATCTGAAGGTCATTCAGGCGCTGGACGAGGTCAAGACCGCATCTGGAGAAAATGGCCGATTCGATGCTTGGATGCGTTTGGTGGAGGTCACCATTGATGGTAGGGGCAAGATGGGAAGTTTGGTCGGTGCCAGCGAAGAATTGAGGACTGGAGGTATCGGAATGGAGAACTTGCTTATGGAATACGCCGTTGCGACTCTCATGCTCGTCAACATGATTATCGATTCGCCCGAGAGAGATTTGGAGATGAGGATACACATTCGAGCCCAGTTTACAGCATGTGGTATCAAGCGAATCTTGACGAAGATGGAGGAGTTCCAATACGAACTCTTGGACAAACAGATTGAACGGTTCAGAACAAACGAGGCCATTGACTATGAGGATATGCTTGAGAGGGAGAATAGCAGTATCAAAGACGACGTCGAAGGCGAGGTCAAGGATCTGACTGATCCCGTTCAAATTGCCGATGCCATTCAGCAGCGCCTCCATGGCACCAAGACCAACGACTACTTCATTTCGGCTCTACAGCATCTTATGCTCATCCGAGCAAATGATGGCGAGGAGCGCCTACGCATGTTCCAGTTGGTCGATTCCATGCTTAGCTACGTTGCTATGGACCGGCGACTGCCGAACATGGATCTCAAGCAGAGTCTCAACTTCACGGTCCAAAGTCTCCTTGACAAATTGCATACGGACTCAGAAGCCAGGCAAGCCCAGGATGAGGCTCTTGAATCGCGACAAATCGCTGAGGCCGCAATGGCTGAGCGTGATGAGATGAAGGCTCAGCTTGAGCTGGGTGCTGATGGACTGGTTGCCAAATTACAAAAGCAACTGGACGAACAATCTCGATTCATTGATGCTCAAAGAAGACAGGCAGACGGACTCAAAGCTGAATTGGACAGTATGCAGACTATGAGAGCCAAGGAAGCCCAGCGATACGAGTTGGAAACAAGAGAGCTATACCTGATGCTTCGAGATGCACAGGACGTAGCTGCTTCCAAGGCTATCAAAAGCGCTGCTGCTGCTAGCGCCAGCGCCAGCGCCAGCAGCAAGGTGGCTGGCCCTGAAGACCCTGCTCGTATGCAGGGTATCCTGGATCGCGAACGCCTCATGGAGCGGTTACAGATGCAGATTGAGCGGCAGAAGACACAATACAAGCTCGAGGGACGTGTTTGGGGAGATGCTGTTGGGCCTTCAGACCGTCTTCGAGCCCTGCGCGAGGAGATGGACGACAGGCCTGGAACACCTCCTGGTGGTGGTACGCCTCCTCGGGACTTCACCAACAGCGTTCTGGGCAGCATCCACCGCAATACCAAGATTCCACGCAAGCCCCTTAAGAGACGTTCTGATGGTGAGGTGATCGATGAGGACGACGAGACTGAGGGCGAGGACGGTGTCATCTTCGAGAAGCCCAGAATCGTCGAGATGAAGCGACCTACGATAGACCCCAAGCAGCAAGCTGGCTTGCTTGGTGAGATTGGTTCCAAGGTCAAGAAGTTCGATGCCAGTGATTCTGAAGATGACACCACCGGTCCTTCTCACCCTAGTATGGAGACTTCATCACCCATCACTCCACCAGGTGACAGCGAAACTCCCAAAATCGAAGTCACTGGTGCTGCTCCTCCGCCTCCGCCGCCACCTCCACCTCCTC